GAACATAGTAATCCCGGATTCTTTTCGGGTTGGGTCATCGGGCCCCGCGGTAAAAAGTAAGAGCACATGACGATATATTATAGGCTACCTGATGTATCTATACGTCAGGTAATCTGAGGCAATAAAAATTCCTAGGAATGATCCCATAATTGCCATGGTTTCTCAACAATAACAACAACAATAACAAGCCTTCATCCCAGTACGTTGAGGCCCATAATTTCTCAAATTAATTAAATTTATTTATTTTTTGACATCCACCAGAACTTGGAAAAAAATTACAAATTCTAACAAATGCAAGCTCTAACATCTTAGATTAATTTTTTCATAACTTATGATTCGGTAGAAATGAATTGGAACTTATATGGATTGAAACAAATGCAAAACCATTCAATAGGGATCCAATGGTCATAACAATGTAGGGTTTAATGTGGGTGAATGATAGATCTATTATGAATTCATGTATGGGGGAGATTTCGGATCCAAATGAAATGCCCAACGCTTGTCATCCTCTTGTTTAAGTTCTTAAATAAGAATCATCAATGAGAAATTACCTAATTTCTATGGATTAAAGTAGTTGACTGCGGGGTTGCGGGTTTAACCACGGAAAATCTAACTGTACGTAGTGTGTAAGATTCTATTTTGCGCAAATGCTATCTATATATGTTGAAAGTTGCATTCATAATTCATTCTTCAGTCAACAAAATGTCCTTAATGAAACAAACCAGAATTAAGGTATATATTGTGCTATCAACTTTTATTGTTACAGCTGAGAATTTTGTTGAAAATGTTTCTGGCTCTGTTTATTAAATATTATTCAAATCAATTGTGTAGCAGTCATTTCCTTTTTTTTTTTTGTAGATCTATCTTGAACTAGTTAAGATGATTTCTAAATCTTAATTAATTTTAGGATGCCAGGTTTTCAATGTTTTAAAATAGGACTTTTTGGACTTAGATCAGTTCCTGCCTATAAGATTAAAAAAATCCGGTATGAAAATACTTAAGTGAGTAATAGCAAATCTTTAAGTAATAAATTGTTGTTAAGTAATTAATAATTCTAAAAGGTGCCTCCTTTAGGCGTGTGAGTATGAGAGCAGTTAGTGGGCTGGCTCTTATTTAATCCTAATTAATTTTTATTCACGTCAGCCAACTAATAGGGAATAGATATTTCTATTGGATAAGAATGGAAGCAGTTAGTGTAGTGTGTGGGCCCCTCTTCCTACCTTTTCACATAAACTAAGCTTTTCACTCTTACAAACGGTGAAGGATGATAATAAAGCACGGTATAGTGTTATGAAGAAAGAATAGGCTGCAGAGTGGAGTGCGGCTCTGAGCAATGCAGAAGATTTTCGGCACAATACTCTGAACGACACAGTGCATAATGAAGGGTGAGGAACCGTGTGAAGCCAGTATTTTATTGAGATTTTCGGCATAGCGCTCGGTAGAGGGATTTCACATAGTGTAAGGAAGGGTTCAACACAGTTCAAAGAAAATTAGGGATGGAAAAGAAGAGGAAATACGGATCCTTGGGTTATGCAAAAGAGAAGTTTTGAGGTAAATTATTATGTTAAGTAGCAGTGGATATTATGTAATTTATTTGAGTAATAAATTGTGAAATTTATAGAATTAGAGAGATGAATTGTAGGTGACTTATAAAAGGAAAAGAGTACGAGGTGGAAGAATTGAGGAGACAAATCGTCAAAGAAGTAAGTAATGCATTTATTTTAATTGAACACCGGTGATCACATCAATGATTATGAAAGAATACAATAACTTAAGTATGAATTATGAACACTGAAAAGCTTTGTGAATATCAATTGAAAATTAAAGTTTGGCTACAAATGATGTATAACTGTAATTACAGGTGGGGCAAAAGGGACCCCAGGGGCAAAAGGGACCCCATATAATATACCTGTATTACAGGAGGGGCAAAAGGGACCCCAGAGAATATGATACCTGCATAGCAGGTGGGGCAAAAGGGATCCCTAAAGAGGCAAAAGGGACCTCTATATAATTCAATGGTGAGAATGTCAGGTTTACCTGGGCTCCATTGAATAATGTTATGAAAGTGTAGCCAAATCTTTTATAGATAAAAATTGATATTCATTGTAAGATTCAGAAGAAGTAAAGATGAAAGTTCTTTTTATTTTAAAGCTACCTTGGTTAGTGAGTCTTTTGGTAAGGTATGATAATATTTCATAAATGGATTTTATTTGATTTTCCTTAGTGGCTCTGTAAATATAATATTGAGTTTTAATTTGGAAGTTGCTTCCGTAGTTATATAAATTGAATTTTGGTTGGATGTTTTATATGATCTTCTAAACAGTGAAGTTGTATTAAATGTTTGAAAGGAAAAATGTTTATGTTATGAACGTTACACTCCACCGTACTATTTAGGTGTACTGTGGGGCGTTACATAGTGTTTACTAGATTCGTCTCACATATTCATTCACAAAACCAATGGACCTAGGATTTCTAAGTTGAAGTTCGTACCTCACCAGGGCTATTGTCTAATGGTTTGCAAAACAGTTAGTCGAGACAAAACTTTGCTTATGTATTCACTACCCAACTTTTTGCCAAGTTTTATGAAATACGAATATTACTGCAGCAACCTATGCATTGGCCTCTTCCAATGTTAAAAGCTGCCATAGGCGAAGAGGAAACTAGGGTTTCAGTTTGGAGAAGTGTAACTTTTCAACTTGGAAGCAAGAAACGTGCTTCAAAGATTCGAATTTAACTTTTCAACTTGGTGAAGTGTAACTTCCAATGTTAACTCTCAATCTCCACTCTCCTCTACATGCATCTTCAATCGACTCTTCTGTTTCTTGCGTGTCTCCAACCTGAATCCAAAACTAAAGATTCCCTTCCTCCTCTTTCCTCTCTGAAATGAAACCTTTCTCTATATCCATATTTCATGCCCATCCCGAGAGAAAGAAGCCAAGAGGAAAAACATGCACAATGCCCTTCTCAATTTCTCCTTGCTGTTGGTATGCAAAACCAGGACGAAATAAACTAAAAATCGATGGTGCCCTAATTAGTTATATGTGAATGGTTGGGACTAATTCCTTTAATCTTAAGAGATTTCAGAAGAAAGCGCAATGGGGGACTGCTTGCAACTGGCTGCTCTTACCGTATGCATCTCCAGCCATTCAATTCATAAGAATAAAGCTTTGGTTGGCTAAGGAGAACTAATATATATATAGATTGCTGACTCAATTTTTAATCTGAGACGACTCGAATTAATTAAATTTGACTAATCAATTCAAATTTATCATTGCTATTTTTAACTATATAGAATTTGATTTGAATTCATGTCATGATTATTCGACAAATTTTATGCTGGTTGTCGACTACCTAGTGCAACCATCCACTTGGGCTTGTTGTGTGATAGAAAAGTATCACTCAAACTTAAGGGAAAATTCTATAAGATGGTTGTTAGACCTGTAATGCTTTATGGCTCAGAATGTTGGCCATTAAAAGAGAAGCATAATATTAAGTTAAGTGTCGCCGAGATGAGGATGCTCAGGTGGATGAGTGGCTTTACTCTTAGAGACATGATACGAAATGAGCATATACGTGTAAAGGTTGGAGTAGCTCCAGTGGCAGATAAGATTAGAGAGAGTTACCTCAGATGGTTTGGTCACATAAAATGGTGGCCCTTCGATGATCCGGTTAGGAGAGTTGATGTATTAGATTTAACTATGTTAAGAAAGGTAGAGGCATACCTAAAAAAGCTTGGTTAGAAAATATTATAAATGACATTTCTTTATTAGATATAAATGAGAATTTGACTCTTAACCGGACACAATGGAGAAAAATGATTCATATAGCTGATCCCATGTAGTGGGATAAAGACTTGTTGTTGTTGTTGTAGAATTTGATTTCGCTAAATTGGATCGGTCGATACAGCTAAATCAAAATTATTTGTTCAATTTGGCCTTAAATTTCATAATTGAGTTGAATCTAAGTCCAATTGAACTGAATCGAATATGAATCGAGTCGAATCGAGTCAAACTAAACTTAATTGAGTCAAATCAAGTCAAATTGAACTTAATCGAGCCAAATCAATTGAGTCAAATTGAACCAAACTGAGTTTAGTTGGGCCTATAACCAGGTTATCTATCCCACACACAAACCAAACCTCTATATAAATCAATTAATTATTAATGCATATATATATATATATATATAGATCAAATTGTTGACTTTCCTACACAATTTCACTACAAAGAAGCAAATAGTTACATGTTCACACTTATAAACCTAATGTTAGTATCAGTTTTCTTGATCATTAAACATGAAAATAGGCACCCATGCCCATTGGGTATGGGTGGGTACGTGGGTGGGTGTGGGTATGGGCACCCAATGCAGGGCTCTGATAGCTACGAATCCTTAAAAGAGATTTTTTGGTTCTTAGTGTACTATAGGGTTCATATAGAAAGTGGGCAAGTCTTCCGTCTTGATTCTCTTATCGTCTGCTCTCTTCGAAGTTCTTCATTCACTAAACTCGAGAAAGCTGAAGAGGTGTTTGCACTTTCAGTGTATAATAAGTTATTTTATAATCATTTTATTCAATTGCTCCGAGAGTCTATTCCACGTATTTGAGCATATATTGTAGCTCCATTGCTCCAACAATCTAATTCACGTTTTTCTAGGAATCTCTTTCATCATATTCATGGTCTTATTCATAATTGGAATCAATCTGTATATGCATTACCAACCCCTAAACTTGTCTGCATTGCAAATACAGAAAATTCGTTGCTTCTTAAATTTGTCATCAAAAGCCACTTTTTCTGCTTCACAATTGTTGTCTATCCTGATATTTTATAAAGAACATTTTTAAATGCTGAAAAGTTTGACAATGCATAAATTTTGTTACTGGAACCTCTTCAATTATTTTTCTAAGCAGGTAAACATACTTACTCTTTCTAAATTAAATCTGAGTAACGTCACTTTCTTTCTTTTCTAAATCATGTTTTGACCGTTTTTGGCTGTGGAAACAGGTAGATGTTGGTGGATACCGTTGCCTTACATGCATTTTAGAATGGATGGGGAGGCATTCTCTGAGTATCTTTATTCTTGTACCATCTAACATAGCTATCATTATTCTTCAAGGATTTTATTGGAGAACCCCCAAAAACAACATTGTAAGTGCGCAAAGTGATTTATTTACATGTAAATTTGATCATGATGAATTTTACATTCCTTTTTTATGTGAATGATCCTCAATTTACATATTAAGGATTGCTTATCTTCCTTTTATGCATGAATATTTGCAGTCTTAGAAAATTACACCTCGTACGCCTGCAAATATACAAAGATGATACTTCCATCATTGCTGAGGGTAAAATTATATAGTGATAAAATAGAATGAATAAGTTTACAAAATTGTTAGCAGCTATACTTGATCCAGCTCAGGATGCTTGTTTCCTTTTAGGAACAATTTTTTTTTAGTTCTTACCAATGTGGGGCCCTTATTTCCCACACTTGTCAAGGTTTTTTCATCATTTCCACTGTAGAAAATATGGGTCTGAATATCAAGAATTAAATATACTCAAAACGAATTTTAAATTCATTTGATTTACTTCGAAATGAGTGAACTACATGATTGACCTATTATACCTTGATTGTATTTATCTCAAAGTAATTCCAACAACAACTATAAAAACATCATGCCTTATCCCACTATATGGGGTTGGCAACATGAATACTTTTTTTCCATTGTGTCTTATTATGAGTCAAATTCTCATTTAAATCTAATAAAAAAGTTATTTCTAATTTTTTTCTAATCAATTTTTTTTAGGTCTATTTCTTCCTTTCTTAATATAGGCTAGATCTAATACATCTACTCTCCTAATCAAGTCATCAAAAAGTCGGCCAAACCAAACTCTCTAAGATTTAAATTTTCATTTAAATTTAACATAAAAGGTCATTTCTAATACGTTCTAACTGAAATTTTTTAGGCGTACCTATACCTTTCTTAACACAAGTCAAATATAATACATCTGCTGTCATAACCTTATCATCAGAAAGTACATGTTTTATGTGAACAAACTATCTAAGACGACTCTCTCTAATCTTATTTGCTACTGGAGCTTCTCAAACCTTTCCACGTATATACTTGTTTCACATTGTCTCTTAGAGTAAGGCAACTCATCCATCTTAGCATCTCATCTCTACAACTCCTAATTTTATGCTTTTCTTTTTACGACCAACATTCTGCACCACAAAGCATTGCAGGTCTCACCATCATCTTTTTGAGTTTTTCGTCGAGTTTGAGGTGTACTTTTCTATCACACAACATGCCCAATGCATTCACCCACTTTAACCATCCAACTTAAATTCTACTAATAACACCCTTATCTATTTCACCATCATTTTGAACAGTAGACCCGAGATATCAAAAATGTGTTTTCTTTTTAATGGCTTGATCACCCAAAGTCACAATTCTATCATAGATCTATTACTTTTAAAATTACATTCCATATATTTTGTTTTAGATCTAATCAAACGAAGACCTTTAGACTTAAGATTGACCTTCATAATTCAAGTTTCCCTTCAACTCCCTCCCTAGTCCTATCAACAAGAAAAATCTCATCAATGAAAAGCATGCACCAGGGTACATACTCTTGCAAATGTCTAGTAAGAATATTCATGACAAAAGCAAAAAGGCTTAAAGCTAATTCTTGATGTAATTCAACTGAAATAGGAAAATACTTTGTCAAACCATTTTTTGTTTGAATACAAGTAACATCTCATGCATATATATCCTTTATGACTTGAATATAAGTATTATTAACTCATTTCTTTTTTAGAACTCTTCATAGCACTTCTCTTGAAACTGTATCATATGCTTTCTCTAAATCAATATATATATATATATATATATATATATAAATTATAAATTATAATTAAAATTTTTAAGATTTATATATTAATATCATAATTATTAATTAATTAATTAAACATCAAATAAATCAAACATGTAGAAATTTTATTTTATATTAAAGCTTTTTGTAAGATTTAAAGCTTTTATTTTTGTTATTTGGTAGGGATTTAGGCTAAATTATGTTTAAATCTTACTCAAATCTATCGATGTAAGTTTATGTAGGATTTAAAGTTATCATTTTTATTGTTTGGCAGGATATTTATGTTTAAATTTTTTTCTCAAATCAACATACTATTTGTTATTTAATCATAGTATATATATATGTATGTGTATGTGTGTGTGTATATTGTATCTTGTTTAAAATGGGGCACCATGCATTATGCCCATGGCTCCACAAGGAGTTTTGCGTCGTGGTGCATCATACACTATTGATAAGTATGGATCCTCTTTATTTTCTCTATACTTATACATCAAATCTCTCAATAAATATATAGCTTCCATAGTAGACGTACATGAAATGAATCCTAATTGATTTTGAGTAGAATCAGTATCACGTCATACTATATTGAATTACTCTCTTCAATAGTTTTAATGTATGACACATTAATTTAATTCTTCTATAATTCTCATACTTTTGTGCATTACCTTTATTCTTAAAAATAGGAATCAACACACTCTTCCACTCATTTGAAATATTTATGGAATATTATCAGGTCAAACTGCTTTGCCACGCCTCATTTTTTTCAAGTCTCTTTAATTTTGATTTTATTAATATGTTGACAACAACAACACCAAGCATAATTCTAATTTTATGGAGTAGCTTTTTTACCCCCATCCACCCATAATGTGGAAACCCTTGCTTGTTTTAAATTGCACCTAGGCATTGGTGCAGTGGCCCGTTCAGGGCTTGAGACCTGGCAACGACAATATAATTTCAAGAAATTAAAATTCTATCATGATCAAATTTATATTAGAATGTTTTGATTCAAAATTTCTTCATTTCTGGCCATTCTAAACTTGATCTATGCAAAATATGATCATTATATTTCAGTTATTAGCCCTAAAACTTTCAGTAGTGTAACCTGCCTCCCCATTTATCCATTGAGAGAAATGATGACAACATAGTAACCCAATTTTTTGCTCCATGCAAATTTAGTTGTGGGTTCTAATTTATGGGTTATTTACAAAGGATATTTTAAATTTTTTTATTATAAATAGGGTGATTTTTATCATGATTTTAGATTTGAGGGTCCTTAAACTCTTGAGTGGATATGTATAATTTTTTGTATATTGATTTACTTTTCTGCTTTAAGCTATTTTTTTATTCTCGATATTTGAATTAAATTATTCATTTTTCCCTGCATGTTCAGGATACATAAATAATGAGCAAATATTATAAAAATTAACCAAAATGCTCGTATTTTGTGTTCCATTTGCAGGTTCACTGGGTCTTATCCTTCACTGCTCACAGGTAACTTGTTTGTATAGTGAAAGTTCAAGCTCTTTTTAAGGCCTTACAGGTAACTTGTTTGTATATTGAAAGTTCAAGCTCTTTTTAAGGCCTTTTCTTCTTATATTTAATGCGGACAATGTATTCCAACATTCTGTGTCATATTTGTTAAATTTACATAATTTTTTTTTAATATATCACACGGAATTATATGATCATGTTAGGGTTTATAAATAAAGAAGATTCACTACAAATGTCTTGATATTCTCATTATCATGAGAGCATTGTCTTGATATTTTCATTCTATAATATTTATTTTTTGTTCATTGTAATGATGTTTCTATTGAAAAGTTATTTCTTCATCATATACCTCAAAAACATCATTAAAATAGTGATTGGGTAGGAGAATGTACTCTTTGATAATTTTGTTAGAACTCTCTATAAAAATTGTTGTCATTAAGTTGTATTGATTTTCAGGAAAGAAATCATCATAAGCCCAACACTTAAAGCTAACTTCATTAATTAGATAAGCATTTACCATTAGATTCTTAACGCATATTTCATCAAAATGCCTATGAAAATCAATCTCCCCTCCAGCTAACTAGAGTGTGACATGTGTTTAACAATTTAAGGCAGAGCCTTGTATTTTTCGTGACGTAGCCTTTTTGTTGTCCTCAGATTACTATAAGTAAAATGTGAAGAATTTTTTGGATTCTTTGCATAACTAGCATCTAATTGCACTTGTACCACATTTAAGTTAATGAGCGGATTAACGAGTTTTCGAGTCAAGCCAGTTTGAGCTTGAGCTCTTTTAATATATGAGCTTTAAGTATAAGCATGAGCTCGAACTTGTGGCTCAATAAGCTCGACTCATGAGCTTATTAACGTGTCAAGTTCGAGCCGGCTTGACTAACTCACACCCCTAGACATATTACCCTTTTGTTGGAGGATTTGAAGCTCCACCAGAAATTGCCAATTATTTCAGAATGTGAAACAACTATATATCTCCCTGCTTAGCAATTTCCAGCAGACTTCCATTAACTTACTCGCCTTCAAGCACTTGACATTACAAAACTTGCCCCAAGTCATAGAATCAAGGTCACAGAAATCAATCTCCCCACCAGCCAATTAGAGTGTGACAATTGTTTAAGGTAGAGTATTGCATTTTTCTTATGTAGCCTTTTATGTAAAAGGAATGCATTGCATTACTTTTGTTTTGTTTAGCTTGCATTAAAGAGAATGCAATGCAAAGTGTGAAAAAATTGTGGCCGGTGCCTGCCGGTTGTGGCAGTCGATGGATGGTGGCTTCCTACGGTGGTTGGTTGGAGGTGGCTGACAGTTGGTCCGCAGAGGTCGACGGTAGTGGGTTGTGGCTAACTGTGGCTGTCAGCTGTAGGTGGCTGGCGGTGGCCGGCAATGCTGGTGACTGATAGCTGGAGGTGGCTATATTTTACTTAAAACCAAACACCAATATTTCTAAATTCTATGTATTTGGAATACTTCACTCTCTCTTTGTAGCAAACCAAATAGCCCTTAAATCAAGAATGAATCCTAATGAAATATTCCATATGAAAATTTGATTACAATTTTCGTATTGATTGATATACTCAGTACCAGTGCTTTGAAAATCGGACCGGACTGGCCGGTTCAACCGGTTGAACCGTGAACCGGTCCGCCGGCCGGTCCGGAATTTTGTAAAAATTTCTTCAGCCACAAACCGGATTGAACCGGCAGTTCAACCGGTTAACCGACGAACCAGTGCCGATTTTCAAAAATCGATTTGGCTAATATTTTTTAAATAAAATATTTAATACATTTATTATTAAATATTTGACTTAACAAATAAATTTAAATAATATAACATGAAAAATATAGATATAATCTTATAATGAAAATTTTGTATACTTTTCATAAGTATAAAGTATATCTAAACATATAAAATAAATTAGAAATTATTTATATTAAATTTAAAACATATATATGTGAACTAATCTTATTTTAAATATGAATTATATTATTTATAAAATAACCTCCAACTTATTTTTAATTTAGATATTTGATTTGTATGATAGGATGAATTTGTGTTTAAGTTTAAGGTTAGATCATCATATTATTATATTAATTTTATTATTTATTATATCATCCGGTTCGACCTCGGTCGAATCATTAAACCCTTAACCCCTTCTTCTTCTGGTTCATTGACCGGTCCGGTTTTAAATGCCTTGCTCAATACTCCTTGGTTGTTAATAATTTGTAACCGAAGGTATTTTGAGGAAGTTATTTTTAGTCTTATCAATCTAAAAATAAAATATTTCTTAATTTTGAGAGCCTCAGACTATATATATATATTAATGTTGAGTGAGCTTTGAACTGAAGACGTTGAAGCAAATAAGATGGTTCTGTAAGAATTGGAGCTAAATTTTCCTTATAAATATTTTTGTATAGACCATCAATAAAGGAACCAAAATAAGTCATATTATAGAACATAAATAACGAATTTTAACTACACATATAAGTTCAAGGACGATGAAGAGAGGTAGAGTCATATAAAATGTAGGCGATAATTTTTTTCAGCTTTTTAAAATAATTTTATAGTACAAATATTAAAATTTTTGTACTAAAAATTTATTTTAAGAAGCAATAAAAAAGTCATCTCAGACGAAGTCTTAGTCCATTCTAGATCGGATAAAGCATTGTCTTCCTTTTTCTTTTTATATAATTATTTTTCAATTTACGCTCTCTGCAAGAAGAAGAGCGAGCCCAATCCTCCACCCAGATTCCTAATTTGCAGATTCAGCATTGGATAAAGTAGGATTTTGTGGTAATACCCATTTCTCCCAGTCACGGCGTTTTCTGATTTTATCACCCTGCATGCATGGAAAGATGCAGAACTTATATAAAATTTCAAGCTCTTACGTACGTTGATTCAATCGGCAATAAATTTATTTTTATTTTTTGTGTATTTAATTACCATAAAAATAATGTTGGAAACAAAAAAATTTGGGTGACAGAATTTTTATTTACCTGCACTTCCACATTGCCCGAGAATTCCATGCTGTCTGATATGAATTGTTCATCGCTGGTCAACGGTGCGATCTAAAACATATATAGTAGCAAAAAATTTCAATAAAGAAAATATAATAAATTAAATGCATGTGACAAAAAAATATATTTACGTACGTAATCTAGCATAAAACTGTACGATCTTAAATAATTATATACGAGATTTGCTTCCTTCATTAAAGTCTCAACCTGCAAAATAGCATTACAAATACAACATTTAATTTGTAAAAGGATAAAATTAAACTTATGAGATTAAGTGCGCGCATGAAATCTTCTTAATAAAGTTTAAGATAAGATAATTTACTCACTCTCCTAAACCCAGCAATCAAACTTATTGGAACCCAACCGTTCGCATCCATCTGTCTCTTCAGAAATATATCTGTTTCCAAATTTCCCGAACTGCATAAATCATAATATAATATGTGTAAGTTCCATTTTAATTGCTGATCAGAAACACCAATATATATCTACCTGAAGTAGTACTCAATCTGCTTCCTCAACCTAGTTCGCATATTATACAACCAACTGAAAATTTTTGATTGTTGTGCTGCATTAATGTCTTGGAGAGGAATAAAATATCCAACATGTGGGTGGGTTGGATGGTAATACGCACAATGAGGAGCATCTAAAAGTCATATAACAACATTAATTCATTAAATTTTACATCAAAGTGGTAGAATATGATCTGCAATTCAATGGCACAATCTATATCTTACATGGGAAGACATTATTGAGGCCTTGAGCTGAAGAGCTGGTGGAGGGCTCGGGGTTGCCAAAGAAAGGCACTGGGAAAGTTGGCGGAGGGACCGTACCATATGCATGCAGGTTAGGTTGTCCGAAATCTATATGAGGAGCCGTAAAATTTGGTGCTCGATAAGGACTCGTTTCAATATTGAAAGTTCCATGATTGTTATTTAACCTCCCAATATTTCTATTAGGAGATCGCACTTCATTGGAAGGTATTCTTCTCCATGCCACCCGCTCAGTAGGGGCATTGTAATTTCTGCGGACTGAGGATGATGCTGAATGGTTCCCTCTTGGCAAGTTGACCGGTCTGCTGACGATCGATGGGTCAGCCTCAACCTCTTCATTGAAGGCTCTTCCCAACGCCGCCAATTGGTTTCCTTTGGCAGTCGCATTGTCGTTGCCTATGGCGGAAGAAGAGGAGGTTGAATGGTCCTCACTAGACATAGCCAATCTTTAGAGGGGATACTTCTGGCTCTTAGATTGATGACTGAGATTATTGGTTGGTGGAATGAATCGAAGGAGGAATAAGTATCGTAGAGAAGAATTACGTTATTGATTGATGTATTTGTTCTGTGATGGTTGGCTTCTTCTCTTGCGTGGAGTTTTTATAGGTAGAGGAAGCCATCTATTTTAGAATTGACAGCTATTCATCGGTAATTAGAGATTTATTTGTAACACAAAGTGGTTAGGATTTGCAAAATCCTTGTCAACTTTTGATTGGTTTAAAACATGGTGGAGAATGTTATTTTTAGTCCTTTGAATATTTCCACCATTCTAAAAATATTAGTTTTTTTAACGGTGAATGAATAAATTGGGGAGGAATATCCTCATAAAATATTTAAATGTTGCACTAATGTCAGTAATGAAGTTTATCTTGAAAATGATAAAATAATAATAATAATAATAATATTTTTTTTTTTTACTTTTTTAATTATTATTGAGCTTCAAAACTTCAAAAATATAATAATCTTCTTTAAAGATTGGATTAAATATTTCTTTTATATATTCAAATATATCTTTCCAGGTAATTAGTAGGTGTCCACTAGTCATGGAAGAAGGGGTCATGCCTTATGGCCCCACCAAGGAACTCGTCCAAAGACCATAAGATTCAATTCAGACATAATACTTAGAGAAGGGTCACATGCACGACTCAAAAAATAGTCAAGGGTTATTGAGGATTGCTTAATTCACCACTCACCATCCAACAAGGGGTAGCCACTCATTGCTATCCATAATGAAAGGCTACCAACCATGCTCGTCGTCCCGGCCATAGGAAAGCACCCATCCATGAGATTTATAACTCACTCGTCATAGTCGGTCGACCACAGAGCATGTCATCCCCGCAATGCAAATGAATATAGGGGTGTAAACAAGTTGAGATGAGTATCTGCCAACTCAAGCAAAGCATTTTTAGTTCTTAATGAGTTTAAGCTCGAGCTTGACTTGTTAAAAAATTTATTGATTGAATTGTTGAACTCTCATAGTTTTAAATTAAAATATATTTTTTTTTTAATAATTTTTATTTTTAAAATAAAATTAATTTAAAACATTTTAATTTATTATACATTGTTATTTTAAACTAATTTTTAATATATTGCAAGTAATTGCGGGCTTAAGAGCTTTCAAGCGAGTTAGGATCAGCTTGAGCTAGTTTAATATATGATATAAGTATAGCACGAGCCTCTAATTCTGTGCTCATAAGCTCGACTATGAGATCATTAATGATTTTCGAGCTCGAGCCAACTTGGCTCACTTACAACCCAAATGTTACGGTCCTATTCTTGGAGGATTTCGGTAGC